GGTAAAAGAACAGTAAAGATATTTTTTAAAAAGTCATAAGCCCATAGGGACCAAAAAGGGAAAGGAAATGGCAGCAAAATTTTGTAGGTTAGAGAGTAGCTGGATTGGTGGTAATTACCGTAGCAGACCTAAGAAAGCTGAATCATAAGCCATTCATGGAGAAAACAAAGAGACAACCAGTTTACATCACAGAATCCCGACGAGGCACAGGACTTGGGGGTACTTGGTGGGGGAAAAAACAAACAGAAAAGCAATTTGGAAATACCAGATATTATGCAGGAAGGAGAAAACTTAAAAAAAAAAGGTACATAAAGAAGTAGATCCTCAGATCTCCTCCCCTATCCTGACCCTATAGGCAGCTGCCCTTCTACCGCCTGTTAAGACTGGGGTTTAGTCTCCAAGGGGATCAAAAAGTCTCTGTACTGAAGGGCACCAAGCATAGCTAAGGGTGAAGTATCTCTGCTGAAAACAAGACAATTAAATTAAAAGTTTGCTACTCAATTTATCCCCAGTGTCCTTTTTCCTCTTGATTTCTAGAACACTGGCAGTCAAGGACTGAACTTTGAGATAAGGGATTAGATGAGTTGTCCTGGGAGAAGACCCATTCAAGAGAACAGACCTCTAAAGATACTGAGATTGGGAGTCCCCAAGAGAGCAGCCTTGCCCATCACCTTACAGTAAAGACCCTCCAAACAGCTTTTTAGTGTCTCTTAAGTATAAGCAGATATACAAAAATTGCCAGACATTTGAGGGAAGCATGCAATTTAACAGACAGACACCAAAAATAAACCCAAGTAGAAAAGAACTTGGAGGAAACAGAGACTATTAAGGGAGAATGCTTCTTAAAAAAACGTCATTTCAAAAGAACTGTTAATATTACCTTCAGAGAGTTAAGAGGAATTACATCCATAAAATAAGAAAAGGATACTATAGAAAAGGAAGTTTTTGGAAATTACAAATATAACAGTGAAAACTTTGGCAGAAGGGCTAGAAGATAAAATGAAGGAAAACACCTATAAAGTGGAGCAAAAAGACAAGGAAATGGAAAAGAGGAGTGAAAAAATAAGAAAATTAGAGGACCAGTCATGGAAGTTTAGCACTTAAATAATATTTCTAAAAAAAAGTGAACAGGCAAAATGGAGAGGAGTAAATCTGGAAAAAAAAAAATCCAAGAGAGTGACCCTGGAGTTCTAGATTGGAAGTGCCTAGCTTAGTGAATAAACATATTTTCATATCAAGGCATATGTATCATTGTGGAATTTCAGAGCAGTGGGGAGAAAAAAAAAGATTCTATAGGATTTCAGAGGGGAAAACAGATTTCATAAGATCAGGGGTCATAATGACATTCTACTTGTCAGTAGCAATACTTTGGAGAATCGCCTTCAAAATTCTGAGGGAAAATGATTTCCTATTTAGAACTCCATATCTTAAAGCCAATAGTAATTAAATGTGAAGCTAGAATAACAGACATTTTTAGATGTGCAAGATCACCAAAAATTGATCTTCCACCTTCCCTATCTTAGGAAGTTACTTCAGGGTATGGGTTACCAAAATGAGGAGTAAACTAAAAAAGAGGAAGAAACAGAACCCAACACCACTGGTGAGGAGTGTCCCAGGTGACAGTTGGGCAGCGTGCCCAGTGAGTCAGATGAGAAGAGGTCAGAGGACCCCAGAAAAAACCTAAGAGGATGAAGTGAATAGACTACCTAATATGTTAGAACCCTTGTGAGGAGATACACTCTTGGAGATTTGAGTTAGTATTAATACATAGAAAACTAAGCAAAGGCAAAAAAGAAAGACAATTATCAACTATGGGGAAAGCAAAATATACTTGAAAGGAAAATAAATCATGATATGCTTGGTGGCTCAGCTGTGAATAGTGTTTATATACACAAATGATGTAATCACTGTTTTTTTAAATTAAAAAAGGTTTTAGTTGAAGTATAATAAACATATTAAACCCTAAATTCTGATGTGACAAAGTTGTGTTAAAAGTGGAAAGACAGAGGGATGGAAATGTGCCCCCGTGGGGTGGGGGTGGGGTGGGTGGGGCAAAAGGATGTACGAAAGCTGAATACTTATCTTTCATAATGGGAAGGCAATAGATAAAGCAGTAAACTGAAATAAAACAAGTAGTACTGTAAACACATGGCTTAGATTTGTGGAGGTAAATGGCAAAAGGATGAATTAAAGGGAGCAGGAAGCGATAAGTTAAGAGTGGACTGCCATTTTTAGTAAGAACTTCTAGAATTATTTGATTCTTGAAACTAAGAGCATGTATAACTGACAAAAATGAAAAGTAAATTTAAGAATACAGTTTATTTGTGGTATTTTGTGGCAGTAAATAAGCTTATTTTAAATAGTGGAAGGGGTAATTATACTTTTACTATAAATTTTATCATTTAGTTTATATTTATGAAATTATTAAACAAGTTTTGAGATGTCGAAGAAAGGAACAGTCTATATGTAAATAGTACATAGAGAATTGGCTTATTTGAAGTTGTTATTTTAGTTAGGAAAACATCTAAGTAGAATAAGATTCTTAGTACAAAATACCGAAAAGATGACTAACAGTAAGAAAAATGGAATTATCACTTTAAAATAATGTGAAGTGTGCATTATGCTTGATTATTTTCCTAATATTTGTCATTGATAATTATTTGTACATAAGTCATTTTGACCAGGTTGGATCCTGTCTTTTTGAATTAACTGATTTTTTTCTGAATTTGTCGTGTCATTTATATATTGCTTCAAAGGAGGAGAACGAGATGGAGACATTTGGTGCAATGGTAACAAATTAAGTTAGCTCTTATATAGCTGGATATAGGTTTAAAAATGACTTTCGAGATTTTAGCTGATCAGGAATTTTGGGAATATAAATGGTGAAAAGTAGCCAGTGTACCTGTGTTTCTTAAGTGTCCTCTTAGAAACACTGTTCCATTATATAGAGAAATCAGCCTTGGTTTAATTTTCGTTCATGTTTCTTTATATTTAGTACTGTAATAATCTTTTTTATGTCTGCTATTTTTTGTACCTAACAGTTTTATCAATTATTTCCCAGTTAGTGTTATTGAAAAAGAGATAAGCATGATATATGTTAAGCATATTTTCTTTATTATTCATAAGCAAGAGTTCTGATACTCTTTTTATCTGTTCACAGTTTGTGCTAGTTCTTTGTAATTCTATTGGCACACCCTTGGATCCCAAATACATTGATATTGGTAAGGAAATGTTAATATTTATTCCCTCTCCAATCAGGTTTTATTTGCAACACTAAAGAACTAACAATGGTATTTATTAATTAGAATGATATTCTCTAAAATGAAGATGATCATACTGGTTTGTCAGATCCAGTACCAGTTTTTATCTACCATCATGGTAGAATTATTAATAATGCCCCATTTCACTCTCAAAAGCATCCTGGTTCATACAATAAATTATAAGTTTACTCTATCTAAAATTCTCTGTAATTTTGCAACTGCTATACTGCCATCATTTGCTTTAAATGGGAAATATAATTGTACTGGAATTGGTATGCAATCTGATGATTAGTATGTAATAAACTTAGGATTATAGAAAGAATTTTTCTATTAAACCATTTTTATTAATAATAAACTGCTTGTAAATACCTCTCTTTCATAAAAACACTTTAGCTGCTTGTAAAAGTGAGTTTGCCTTTTCCAGATTTTTCTAATGAAAAGTCTATTAATAGGGACAGCTTTAAAAAATTCCTGACTTTTTGTTTTCAAAGGACATTTGCTCCTTTAGATTTCCCATTCCCTATATCCAATAACTATGAAAGTAAACCATTAAAAAATTCCAAATCTTATTCTAAGCGGATCATTAAAAATCATTAACAAATATTTTGTTGGCATTTCACTGTAACTTCCAAAAGTAATGGTTTTCTTTTAAAGTGTATGGTAGTATATTGGATGTAGTATTACAAAAATTATTAAATCTAAGAAATTGAAAACCCATTGAATTATTTTCTGACACTGAGAAGTAGTCATTTTTTTTTCAGATTGGACATTCAGTCTTAACAATCAAATGTTAATGTCTACCTTTTAAGTGTTTGCATTTTGCTAAGCTCTTTGGTTGATAAACACAAATGTGAGAAATAATGGCCTCAAAGACTTTATACTCTATGGTTTAGGGGTTTGGTAACTCACTCACTTTGATATATTGAAACATTTCATCTTCATGTCTTATATTCATTGCTACATAGGCATGTTTACATGTTTTATATATGTATATATTTACATACATATATACATATATTAGTGTTCCTTCATAAGAAGTTTAGCTTAAAATTATTACAGACTCTTATCACATGAATATCTTTTGTTAATATTTTATTAGAAGCATAATGGTCTTTAAGGGATAAATTCTGTCATTCTTCAGATTATATGCTTTTTCTTTCAATATCAAAAGTTATTTAACATAGAATTATAATGATTATAGGATTAGCCTCAAAGTAGGTAGACTCTTTTTTTTTTTTAATAAAGCTAAATGTAAATGCTTCCCCTTCATAAAATGGTAAATACTTGAGGGCATGATTATTTGTATTTTTGAGTCTCAAAACTGTTTTTTTTTTTGTAGTCTCACCGGCTGAAATTTTAACAAACAGTTCTTTCATTGGTCTGTAGCAAACCCAGCCAAAGACTCGACATTTTTATTTCATACATATCCTGTAAAATTCCTTTCTAAGCCTCTACGCCAAATTTTCATGAGGATTGGAGGCTAAAACAAAAAAAAGTATGCAATGATACTGTTTTAGAATGTATTATTTTTGTTTTGCCACCTACTACCTGTACTTCCTCTTGACAATTTCTTTAGCAACTGTTAAAAAGAACTTTATACATTATTATAGAGGTTTAGTGTGTGGGACTCTGTTGTACTCTACACATCGGAGTCAGGTACCCTTTGGTGCTCTTCTGTTGAGCCCTCTTAATATCTTTGGTGTACTTCTATCCAAAGTACTTCTCATTCTGCACTGTGATTATTGATTTTCTTGTCTGTCTTCCCCACTAGACTTAAACTTCTTAAAGATCTATGTCTAATTAGTTTCCAAATCCCCACGACCTAACACTGTGCTTCGCCTGTAATAAATGTTTATTGAATGCATGGAAAATATTTATTTTCTATCATGTAAATAAAAAATGATAATTCATTTACTTATCAAACCAACAAGTATATCCTGTGTCAAGTACTGTATTGGTCATTGGGAATAATGAGAAATTAATTATGACATTTCCTGTGGGATGTCTAAATAAATAATTAAAATATAGTCAATCCACTGAACAATGACTTATTGCTTCCCTGTTGTGTGCTAGGTGTTATGCTAGGTGCTGGTTAAATGGATATTGGTGCATAAGGATGTCAGGGACGTCTTTTCTACTTAGAGAAGGTTTAATTGGAGCTGAGTTTTATAGGTTAAGTATTTCTTCAGGTGGTATTTGAAGGAGAGAAAACAGCATTTTAGGGGAATGAAGGCATGAAAAGTGGCTTTTTAGTCCCACGTTGCCTGTGCTGCAGTCATTTTAGCAGAAACACGTGGGCAGCTTTCTAATGGTGGTCTCTAACACATTCCCTAAGTTTTCCATATATTCCAGAGGAACTTAATTTGTTGAAAACATTTCAGTGCAATTTCAGTTTACCAGCTCTTTAAAGGGCTAAGAAATGAATAAGTAGGAAAGTAGGGGAACATTACAGATGTAGGCATTTATTTCAGTCCTTAGTATTAAAATGTTACAAGCGGCTTTCACTTTTATGTGAATTCCTAGATTGTTTTAAATTATTTTACATCCTTGCTTGGCAAGTAACTACTGCCTATTAGTGTTACAAAGTTCAATTAATAGAAGCATAATTATTTTCTTTAAAAAATTTTTTCTAATAACCTTTAGATGTCTTGAATTTTTTTCTTTCCAGGTATTGAAGAGTTCAGAAGGGCTTGAAATGCTTTTATCTTGGTTATGTGCTTTTCCTAAAACATTCTATGTGTTAAAATTTGGTCTTCTTTTTTCCTAGAATCTTAGTCTGGGAAGGATGGATCTTTAAATAAAGATCTAGCAAAATGTACATAGATGGGATTATCTACCCATATGAATTTGCTGCAATTACTACCATATTGATTCAAAAGAGCATAGGTTTTAAATATGTTCTTATTTGTTTTTTGTATTGACTGTAGAATTTATATATGGTTTTATTATAAAAAGCTATGTAGATAATAAAGGTAAAAATAATAAGCAACCACATTGAACTAATACTTATTAATCCTTAATGACGATCAGTCTCCTATAGTGGTTAAGAGCACAAATTTTGGAGCCAGCTTGACTGAGTTTGTGTCCAGCTCTACTGCTTTGTAGCTGTGTGACATAGGCAAATTATAACTGCTTCATGCCTCAGTTTTTTCATCTGTTAAGTGGGGATAATAAAGCCTACCTTATAGAGCAGTTATGGGTTAATATATATAATGTGCTTTAGAACAGTGCCTGGCATACATTTTTAAAAATTCAATAAATACTGACTTTTAAAATTATTAAGCATTTATTCTATGCCAGGCACTGTGCTATACTTTATTATCTCTTTTAAACTTTAAAACACTTCTATAGAGTTGGCATTATTTTTACCTTCAATTTATAGTAAGTAAACTGAGGTCAGAGAGAACAGATAGTTCAAGGTCACAGAATTAGGAAGGACCTGTGATTTGCATCCAAGAAGTCTGACTCTTACCTGGAACCACAAACATTTTAATTTTGAAGTAATCAGACTAATGATAAACCCTTGTGAATATTTAGGATGTATCAAAAAGAAAGAAACATTTCCTTAGAAACAGTGTCTAAAAAAAAAAATAAATAAAAGGGGAAAAAAAAAGAATGAAACATGAGTGTAATTTAAAATTGTAGGTAAACATAGGTTGGAAAATGCTTTTATATGCTTAGGAAAAGTTGTATTTTATTAGAAAGCAGTTAAGATTTTCCAACTTACTTTAAATCATGCTAAGGACATAATAGTTTCCAACATCAAGGTATCCATGGTGGAATTTACTAAATATTTAGCAAATGCCTTAGGATTTAGTGAAGATGAACGGGTCAGGGAAAGAAGAGCAAAGCCTGGCCTGGCTTGAGCGCCTCCTGGAGACTTTGATACCGTTCTCTATGCCTGGCTTTAAGTGAATTGTTCTCCCTAAGAAACTTGGCTTTGAGCTCCCTCCAGAGGTCAGTAATAGTATGTATTTTGAATAGAAAAATTTTGACAATTGTGATGGAAAAAAAATTTTTTAAATGACTCTAGTGTATTGAGTATTTAGCATATAAAACTTCTTGAATTTGAATCCCCGAGTTGTTAATCAACTTAATTAACATCATTCCATCAGACTAGTTTCTATAATAATTCTTTGTTTAGTTTCTAAGTCTCTTACTGCCTTAAGTATCCTTTATTTGGACGGTGGCAAGAAATCCATAAATGGTAGCTCCTATTAACATCATTCCTTTATTCTGGCCATTAATGATTGCTTTGCATAGTAGTAATAAACTGAAAAATAAGGTATTATACTGTTTTAACTATGCGTAAATTTAGAAAACAGGTACTAACGGCCAGGCATGGTGGCTCACACCTGTAATCCTAGCACTTTGGGAGGCCAAGGCAGGAGGATCGCTCGAGGTCAGGAGTTCGAGACCAGCCTCAACAAGAGCGAGACCCCATTTCTACTAAAAATAGAAATAAATTAGCTGGACAACTAAAAATATATAGAAAAAATTAGCTGGGC